GTGGCTGGTTCCTGTCCCGGCCTTACAGCCAGATTAGTGTGGGTGGGGCCAGTACCAGCACGACATTCACGGAGCAGCCAAGTTGAGGCTCGCGAGGGAAGCGAGTGACGTGGCCAGAAAATAATCCGGTTTGCTTTCCTGAAGAAATCACCTTAAACTTCTGAACCTGAAATCTCACCCCAAACGGCTGGAAATGTTTTAGTTTTACTACCTTTCAAAGCTCATCATGTCTTCTAGACATTGTGTTGAGCAGCATGCAGCATGGTCAGCTTTGTGTGTGCAAGCTTCAGCTTGCCGCCCCTGCAGTACACTGCCCCCTTGAGGCAGGTTTACCACCTGCATCACTGGCAGGACGTGTCCTTAGCCTGGCCACTTGGGGGATGGAGATCTTGGGGCACGGTGCCCTTGGCCTCATCCCGTGCCCCTCATGTCCTCCTAAACAGCCCACGAAGCCCTTCAGTGTGGGACCGTCAACAGGCTGTCATGCTCCTGTGGAGAAGGCAGCTGCCTTTCACCCTTGGGGCCAAGGCCACTTTCTCAGTGGACCCCACTGTCACCGGTTATTGTTTTTGTTTTTTTAGTGTGTTTCTTTGGCTCTGTGGGTCGAGCCTTCTCTGCTCTGTTTGTGGCGCCCCCCTGTGGTGGGGGGCTGGCAGGCGACAGTGTCACGCAACTTGTTTTTAAAAACACACAGTTCTCAGAAAACAGGATGTTTTATTCAAAAGCTGATTCCTTTAGTTGATATTGAACTGGATTTACTTGTGGCTCGCTGAGTATAAGCATGGCACATCTGTGTGTTTGTGTGTGTGTATGTCTGTTTGTGTGTGTGTGTGTTTGTGTGTGTGTGTGTTTGTGTGTGTGTGTGGAGCAGAAAATCTTCCCTGGGGAATTTGATGCCAAAGCAGCTGGGGGGCGCTCAAGGCGAGTCCCACTACACCTCCCAGCGCCTCGTGGCTGTGCGCGCCCTCACGTAACCCCCTTGGTGTCATCATGTCAGTGTTTCCACGGCCCCTCTCCCTCCCACGAGTGTTTTATGGCTCTCCCATAATCACTGGAGTACGCGGGAAGCCCTGCAAGAGCCCAAGTGCCTTGAAGAGAGCCGTTGACATCTGTGTTAAGGTGGGGGGCAGGGTCTGACTAGAGGGCTTTCGGTTCCCTCTCACGCATTGCCGTTCCAGAAGAGAGCGGGGGAGATGCACGGGGGGCACTTTGGGTGCAGCTGAAAGGCCCTATTCTGACTGGAGTGACACGGAGGGTTTATGCTGGGTCAGTATCACTGAGGAACTCCCAGCTGTTTACTGGAAAAAGGAAAGAGAGGGAAAAAAAAAGTTGAGTGACGTCAGGCAGTCTCTGATTGGCTGCTCTCAGCAGGGGGGAATCCCTTTGTCGTGTGTGCAGTTTTCCATTTTTTTGCACTTTTTCCTGTTTCCCTTTCCTATTCAGCAACTCCTGTTGCACTGTTCCACTGAATAGCTTCTTTCTTCACCATCTACTGTGAGTGAGCTTATAACTGCCCAGCGTGTAGCACTGTGCCAACATGGTGTTAATGTTAAAATACCTGCACGAGGGAGATCACAAATATAAAGTTGAAATACCTGCACGACGGGCAACCCTGTTAATATTGAATTACATGCATAATAGTGAAAGAGTGAAATTTTTATATAAATGTAGAAAATGCATAAATTAGGTTTTGTTTGATGTTATAGGGGGCGAGGGGATGAGCTCCTCCACTAAATTTCGGTGGCATAAAGCAAAGTTTTCTCAGTGCTTCTGATACCTCTCCAGTGAAAGTGTCTGCTGTTGTTCTGTGTCCCTTACCCAAGATGGCGATTTCCTGGTCTATAAAATCCTAAGGGTTTTTATTAAGTCCCCCATTCCATCCTCCAAATCCCCACAGCCCAGGAGGACCCCTTAGCCATCCCAAAGGGAAGCTATTATCTGATCCTCTCCTGGGCGCACTTACAGAAGAGCACCTCGTGCTGCGTTCGGCTCCCTGCAATGTTTTCCGGAAAAGAGATTGTGAACTGATTGTTCGAATCCTTATTCTCTCCCTTCCAGATGTTCGTGATGGACCGGGTGGACGGTGCTGACTGCTCCCTTCTGGAGTTCTCCATCACTGGCTCGACGTATGCCCCTGAAGGACAAGTGTGAGTGCGTCGCCCCCACCCCACATGCACAGCTGCCTCATCCTACCTCATGGTCCATCCGCCCGGATGTGTCTGACATTGATATGGAGGACACACACCAGCTATTCGAGCTGGTCACCTCCCAGCCCGCTTTCCCCGCTTTGTGTATATTTACGTCTCGTCTTCGGCGAGTTTCTGAGTGAATGCAAAAACAGTCCTTCCTGAGGGATAATTAATCGATACACAGCAGCCGCTTAAGCCCCAGCTTAGCCGACGCCTGGCTGGCCACGGGCTCTTACGGCGAAGCCATTATCCTCTTTCCTGAGTGTTGGATCACATGATTCCCCCCCCAGGCTGAAGGGGGACCGTCCCGTACAGAGTGGAGACTACGACGGCCTGGTGGAGCTGGCCACCATTTGCGCCATGTGCAACGACTCTTCTTTAGATTACAATGAGGTAAGCCCCCCCACACACTACTTTGCTAACCCTTACCTGCACCCCCCCCCCCAAACACACTGCTTTACTACCTATTACTGTGAGGAACGATAAGGCTGCGTGCATCTGCGCCTGTGTTTTCCTTTTAGGTTAAGCCCTGCTTTTCATGCTGTCTGGCTCTATCCCCCAAAACTTCAGTCCTCCTGGGGGTGATTCCTTTTTCCGAGCCCATGCGCCCCATTCTGGCTGCTTTGGCTTCTGCTTACCTCGGTACATCGTGCCCCAGGCAGTATTGGCTGTCCTGCAGATATGAGAGTCCACCACCCCCCCAAAGCACACAGTTAGTGCGACGTCGACGCCAGCTGAGGCAGAAAGGAGGAGTGTGGCGACGCCTCACTGCTTGTCGTGAGGGCCGGCGGCAACTGCTATGCAGAGCAGCGCCTCTCTCAGGGAAACACCATGGCCATGTTTGTATGTAAAGCACGCATACACACTCACACGCGAGTGGGAGGCCAGCCGGCCTAGTATTACAGCCCGTTTAGGACTACACAGCACGTACTCGGTCAGCCCGTCTAGGACTACACAGCACGTACTCGGTCAGCCCGTCTAGGACTATACAGTACTGTTGTTAACTTGATGACTGTGTTGTACGAATGAGTTACTCAGTATTCTTTTGGGGAGAATGAGGATGCCCAGCTCCCTGCCCCAGTCGCGCCGACAGTGCAAACCCGACTGCCAGGCTGCTCTCCCTCTTCCTCTTCGCCTTCACACAGTGGGCCCCCGCCAGGCCCCTTAATGGCTTCCTGTTTTGTGAAATCTTAACTGCCATTCATTTTTCTTCCTCTTTCCCTATCTAGGAAACATTGTTTATTAGAATCAGCCAGCGGGCAACTTTTGTCGTGGGGGGGAGGCTACGGGGCTAGGGGGCGCCGCTGTGGGGGTGCAGCCATGCTTTTGAATGAGACACACAATGAGATGCGTGTCTGTGTTCCATCGATTATCTAGATGCAGACACACACTCATATACGGACAGACATGGACACTTATGCACACACACTGACACGTGAGCATACACACTCGGACACGGACATGCGTGCACACACGCACGCACACACACACACACACACACACACACACACACACACACACTGTCCCATCACTTTATGTATGATGTCAGCAGTCCCATCTCTGTCATCCTTGCAGACCAAGGGTGTCTACGAGAAGGTGGGAGAGGCAACGGAGACGGCCCTGACCACCCTGGTGGAGAAGATGAACGTCTTCAAGACTGACGTCTCTGGGCTGACCAAGGTGGAGCGGGCAGGCGTGTGCAATTCGGTAAGCTGTGGGGGTGGGGGGGGGGGGGGGGGTAGTGTGGTACAGGTTCTCACAATTGCCTTAATGACATTCAGAGAACTTGTTTCTCTGTATGAAATCTAGCAAAACAGGTCTGCAATTACCCCACTGCAATAACCAGGATGAGCGCTTGGATGGATGGATGGATGGTTCTAAATGCTCGAGGAGACTCAATGTAGCACCACTGAGTATCCATGAGCACTCAGAAACCTCCATCCATCCACTTGGACCCCTGCTTTGGGTGGATGGCGGCCGGAAGCTTCTCCGTAACGCCCGTGCAGGGCCACACCTGCTTTGGGTGGATGGCGGCCAGAAGCGTCATCACAGTTTAGCGGAGCTGTTATAGGCCAGCACAGTCAATAGCTCAGTTTGTCTCTGTGGCTGGGGTATGTAGTGACCCCCAGTGGAAGCCTGCAGGGGCCACGGGGGATTGATGCTTTGGCTGCAGATCACTAAGCTGGCTGGGCCTCGCTGAGGGCCCCATGTAAGTGGACAGGAGTGTCCTGCTGAAATGCCTGAAATTAAGCTGCAAGCTGCAAGTGGCTCATTCCGGGGAAAAGCCCTTTGGAGCCGTCAGACTGGTGAAGATAAACAGGACCTCTAGCTTAGAGCTGGTTTATGGGCGGATAAACTAAACCTCTCAGGCCACGTCTGCCATTCAGCCGTGAAAAGAAGACTTGTGCTCTAGCGTGAGCACCCCTGACCCGCATCCTGAAGAGGGCTTCACATCATCGTTTCCCCCACAGACTGTGGAGACCTCTGTCTTTTGCTGGAGAGACGAGACATTGCATCTTAATGCGTCTCGCTCGCTTTATCGGGACATCTGTCAAGGGCTTTTTGTGCCCACTTACGTCATCGATTAACGTCACACGTGTCTGGATGGTAGGTGAGCGGTGACGGCGCCCCCTTCACCTTCACCGAGGTGCCTGCTGTCGCAATGGTGACCCCTAGTGGTAGAGGACAGAAACACAATCCAAAAAGCAGCATTGACAACACCTAGCAGATGTACATCAGGCGATTGTTGGACAAGGGACCGTAATAAATGCAAGAGCAAGCACTGAAATAATCCTTATGTAACTGCACCATGGGAGTTACACAAGACCGTTTTAATACATGGGTGAAATGTTTGCACTGTCCTGTTGAATTTATTTTTTTCTGTGTAAACACACAGGCTGGAATGCACAGTCATCTTTTTTTGTGGGGGATTTGTATCTAAAATAAGGTTTTATAAGGGGGTTGGACCTCACTTTTAATGGGAGTGAGTCAAAATGATGAGGTTGAGAGGATGAATGAGAGACGTGACTCATTCAGTAAACAAGCATCAGCTCGGCCCCCCCACGCAGAGGGTCTCTTAGCTGTATGTGAGTGTATGTGTGTGTGTGTGTGTGTGTGTGAGGGGGGGTGCCCATCAGGCTGTTATGGTAATGTGAATCAGCCTCTTGGCCACACCCCACTCAGTGTCTGCCCACCCCCCCCTTCCCCTCCCCCAGGTAATTAAGCAGGTGATCAAGAAAGAATTCACGCTGGAGTTTTCCCGCGATCGCAAGTCCATGTCGGTATACTGCACCCCCGCCAAGCCCGGCTCCCTCAGCAAGATGTTTGTCAAGGTATCGCCCTCCATTCAGCACAGACATTCTAAAGAACACATATTAAATAAATGAAAAAATAAAGTGAACATTTCCATAAAGGCGGATGTCGCCTTTTTACATTGCCACTTCTGTAGACTCTGTGTATCTCTGATATTTTTATATCCGTTGAGAACGGCCTGTATGTTTGTATGTACTTACATGTGTGTCTGTGTGTGTGTTTGTATGTAATGTGTGCGTGTACATATTTCCATGAGAAAATAATTTGCTGGAGAATTACTGTAACTGAAGTTGTAATGCGTGTGTCGTGGATCGATTTTCAGGAGCTGATTTGATTCATCTCGTTCAAAGGCTCCCGTCTGAGTCCTTACTGACCCCCCCCTCCCTCCCTTTTCTGTCAGGGCGCCCCCGAGAGTGTGATGGAGCGCTGTCAGTTTGTGCGGATGGGCACCGGCAAAGTGCCCATGACTCCAAGCCTACGGGACCAGCTGATGGCACAGACCAAGGAGTGGGGGACAGGCCGAGACACGCTGCGCTGCCTGGCACTGGCCACGCGAGACTCGCCACCCCCCAAGGGGGACATGGACCTGGAGAACTCCAGCAAGTTCGCCGAGTATGAGGTCAGGGGCGGGCATTGACTCACATACATACCGCACAGGCTCAGATCCAGTAATTGTGTGTGTGTGTGTGTGTGTGTGTGTGTGTGTGTGTGTGTGTCTGTATGTGT